GCAGAAGCAATGCTCGCATCTCTGAAAGCAGTCCTCCAGCGCAACTCCTGTTCCAGAGTGCCATGCGACCACTGAGTGCCAGCTGAGGAACGGATACTGCGACAGGTCTTGCAAGGAAGGAGAGGAACCGGTGCACGATCTTTGCCACGACGGCTGTACTTGTTGCACGAGACGTGAGTATAATACGTGTTGCTTCTTCGCCTTCATTATTGTTTTAATCTTCATTATTATCATTATTGTTGTTATTGTTATCATTATTGTTGTTATTATTATCATTATTGTTATATATTATTATCATTGTTATATATATTTTTTATTGTTTTTGTTATATTCATCATTCTTTTGTCCATTCATTTTTGGCAAGGCGGATATATACTTGGAAACAAGTAAAGGGTTGTGTGAATGCAATTTGTCGAAAATACATCGTTTTATTTCAATTAATCATTAGCACCAAAATGAGGATTATCGAATGATTGTCCTCACACATCTGTCAGCCTGTCATCAACCATCTCCAATCTGTCAAGCGTAATTATCACTGATATCATTATTATCAATATTATTATTATGATGATAATGATTTTTATTGTTATTTTATTATTTTCATCATTAAATTATATTATTCTTGTTATTCTCATTATCTCATTATATTACTTCTATCATTACTATTTATCATTATCATCATTGTTATTATTATTACTATTATATCATTATACTGTCATTATTATTCTAATTATCATCACTATTACTGTTATTATTATTCTAATTATTATCATTATTACTGTTATTATTATTCTAATTATCATCACCATTATTATTGTCATTAACATCATCACTATTATTGTTATTATTATTGTTATTATTATTATCATTATCGTCACAATCTTCAATATCATTATCAAGAGGATTATTATCCAGAACCGTGTCCTGATCTGAACATGCAATGCAACGACGCTGGTGCAACGCCACCGGTGGATATTGCAGCCACGATTGCAAGTCTGACGAAGTGGCTCTGTCGGGGCTCTGCAAGTACGACAACTGCTCCTGCTGTGTCAAGGGTAAGCTGGCTGACTTTATTTGTATTTGATATCTATACATTATTTATTATCCTTGTGATTATGTTTTTTTTAACATCGTCGTTTTATTATTATTATTATCAGTCTCATATTAATGGTAATAGTGATAATAATTATAGAAGAAGTAATAGTAGTAGTAATAGTAATAACAAAAAGGATAAGATTAATAATAGTAATAATGATAATGATAATAGTAATAGTACTAGTAGTAGTAGTAATGATAATAGTGATAATGCCACTGATAGTAATAATAATGATAATTATCATTTTTATTATTATTATCATTATACTAAAGATTATTATCATCAATGCAATTGTTATTATTATTAATTACTATTACTGTTTTCAGATAATTATTTTCATTATTATTACTAATATCATCACTATCAAAATGATATTGATAATCGTCATCATCATCTTTGTTTTAATTATGATTATTATTATCATTATTATTATGATTATTATTATTATTATTATTATTATTATTATTATTTATTATTATTATTATTATGATTGTTTATTATTATTATTTATATCATTCATTGTTATTATTATATTATTATTATTATTATTATATTTTTATATTATTATTATTATTATTATTATTATTATCATTATTAATTATATCATCACCATCATTATATTTATTAATATTGGTATTATCATCTTTATTATTATCAATGCTATCATCATTATTATTATTGTCATTGTTATTGTTTGGTCCTTTTTGTTTCTACTATTATTATTGTTATTACTAATATTATCATTGTTATTATAGTTATTACTCTTATTGTTATCATTTATTATTGTTATCATTATTATTACTGTTATTAATAATAATATTATTAGTATTATTATTGCCATTATTACTATTATCATTATTATCATTAATACAATTGTTATCAATATTATTATGATTATTATTATTATTTTTATAATTTTTGTAATTGTCATTGTTATTTTTAAAATTATTGTTATTATCATCATTACTATTATTTTTATTGTTATTGGTTTTTATAATTATTATCATCATTGTTATTATCATTATTACTATTACCGTAATTATTACTTGTATATAAATATACATATGCATATATGTATATATATGTATATATATATATATATATATATATATATATATATATATATATATATATATATATATATGTATATATATATATATATATATATATATATATATATATATATATATATTATATATATATATATGTATACATATGTATATATATATATATATATATATATATATATATATATATATATATATATATATTATATATATATATATATATATATATATATATATATATATATATATATATATATATATATAGAGAGAGAGAGAGAGAGAGAGAGAGAGAGAGAGAGAGAGAGAGAGAGAGAGAGAGGGAGGGAGAGAGAGAGAT